ACTCGTAGCCGAGAGTCGTAAACACCTGTAATTGTAATCCGTTTTTAATTAAATTCTACATTAAATTTACACTAAATGTAACATAAAATCCACTGCGAAAGTGATTGTGAGATAAATGTATACCTCTCTCTCTCTCTCTCTCCCCTATGTTTTACACGTTATTTATGAGTTCATATTATGACTCAATTGCGTCATATGTTTGTCAGATTGTCTATTGTAATGAAATATGAATGAAAATCCGAACCCAAACCCAGTTATTCATAACAACCATAACTATATTAAACCACATTTTACTATCATATTTAACGTATAATTTATTAGACGACTACACAAATCAATTTACAATTATTGCTTAAACCGAACCAAACATAATTCAGCTTAAATTAATAACATTCATCGCTCGGGTATTACATCGGGATTGGGGTCGGGTTAGGGACGGGTTGGGTGTTGTCGTCGTCTACTGTATAATACAATTTCATTACATTTAAAGCTCTAATAATCACATCGTTTTGTAAATTGTTTTTTACATTTCATTTAATTTTCGCCCGTTTTTAGGCTTTATTTGCAAAACATTTAATTGTATTTTCATTTCCCATACATTTTAAGTGCAAAAATATTTGTGCAAAAAATGTGTACAAAAAAAGTGAAACCAATTGTTTAAACACTGAAATTCACTGTTTGTTTGCTTTCGTTGTTATTATGATTACAATAAATATTATGCCATAAATTGGTTATCGATTTTGACATCAATTTATATGCAATTCAATTGTATTCACCGTTTATTTCAACCAAATGTCCGCTCATTTGTGTTGATCTCAACATTGCTTTCGTTTAGAGTTTTGTTTTAGTTTTTCGTTTCATTTATTAATTCATTAATTCATCCAAACATTCAAAACACGATTTAATCGCAAAAATATGTCAAATCATGAATTTGAGGATCAAATGACCACTTCTTCGACTTCGTCTTTAGGTTTGTTACCATTGTATGAGACAATGGATGCCATGTATTAACTGGTGTTTTGATTTGATCCAAAGGTTACACATCCCTGTCTTCGGCCGAGGGGTCGACACTGAATGAGAGTGTGTCCGAAGCGGCCATATATTCAATATGTGGTGTCTGTGCCATGAGTTTCCATCACCTGTTCCCACACCCTTGGGATCGGTATGTCATCCATATGTCAACCATATGTCACAATCAATGGCACTAATCATATGTGTATTTGTGTTGAACAGAGCTTTTTGTGAGACAACGATGACTGAAATGATCAGACATTTGGA